AAATTAATGTAAGAAATTCACCAAGCTATAATTTTACTTCACTAAAGTGCCAAAAAATTTACCAAACAGAATAAATACTTGAAACAATTTATAACTATTACTAATCTATTACAATTTTCCTCTTCTAGCGGAAACAATTCAAAGGATGTTGGCAAATCTACCAGCAAAACGTCTAACCAAGCACGTCATGCCATTACCAAAACCTGTCCAGAGACCGCTCAACAAAAACCAGAAGCACAAACCTCAAAAATCAAACCCAGACACTCGATACTGGTCTCCAACAATATGAGATCAAGCCGAAGTAGACCTTTCCTGATTGGGTCAGGACACAAACACACCTGGACTGAATTGCAACGACTCAAGAACGCTAAACAGCAACATGCCAACAGGAATAGAATTGTGAAAAATGATACAGGGACATCCAGTACAGCCAGGACATCTGGTAAAGGTGTTAAGAAAGTTGTGAAGAAGGACGGTGATGGTGAAAGTGTTAAACGAGAGACAGAGGACAAGCCGGTGGAGTCAAAAGTGTTGAGTGATAAAGATGGTAAGAAGATTGTTTTGAAAAGTAAGGTTGTTAAAAGTAAACCAAGTACAGTAGAAAGTGCAGAAGGTGTTTTATTGAGTGATGTGACTGTTGAAAGTGATGTAAGTAGCAAGAAAAAGAAGCAGGTGAGTAAAAAAGGTGCAAAAATTGTACAGAAGCCAGAGACAACTACTGTTGATGAGGACAAGACTGATACACCGATAGATATTGTAAATACAGATGAGAGTTCTAAAGATTCCAAGTCACCTACAGAAGTTTTGACTGCTAAGCCTAAGCAAGTAAAGAAAATTGTTAAAACCAGCAAGGACATTAAGAACAAAAAAGTTAAACCCAAGAAGTTACCAATTCCAAAATTTATCGTGGAAGATTTGTCTACGCCCGCAAGTCTTGCTGAAAAACTGGATGTAACAACATCAACCATAGCAGCTGATGTTGATGATGATAAAACCACAAAAACCACAGAAATTTCTTTATTAACAAGTGTGGTATCTGCAGAACCTTTGGTTCTTCCTGATGGTGATGATTCAGACAGCAAAAGTGATGATGTACCACTTGCCAAAATTATTTCCAAACCATTGAGCAAACCTAAAAGAAAACCTGCAGTTAAATTGGTAAAACCAAAAGCACCAGTCATTAAAAAACCAGCCAATAAGAAGAAATCTAAAACATCTGATGCTGAACAAATGCCTGAATTAAAAATTGTATCGCCTATTTCCAGTGGTAAGAGTACAGAAACTTGTCCTGTTCTATCACCTGTTGTGGTTAAGTCCAAGAAGGCACCACGTCCTTTGGCTCCATCGAGGTTGAAATTAAATTTTGCACCATTGATCTTGGATGTTCCTGAAATTAATGGTGAAAGTCCGGTTACAATAACAGGTCCCATAAAGGATTTGTCGACAATTGGTGATTGTGCAGTGTCTGCTGAGGTGAAATCTCAGCAATTGTTAGTACCTGAGTCTGTGGATGAAGTTCAGGATGTACCCATGGATGAAGTGAAAGCATCAATTATTGATGAACTAGTTGGTAATGAAACAGTGGATACTAGTACAAAAGAAGTACCGCAAGTATCAATACCTGAAGAAATATCACCAATATTGAAACCAGATCAGAAGCAAATTGAAGAAACAACTCATGCAACTATATCTGAGACTCCACAGTTGTCTGCAGCAGCAACTCCAAACAAAATTTCTCCAACTGGGATTCCAAACACTCCGAGCAAAACACCGAAAAGACGGTCTAAAAAGTTGACTGATTGCATAGCAATGTTGACCAATAAGTTGCATTCTAAATTATCAGAAAGTTGTGCCGGTTCTTTTAATATATTCAACAGCTCACAAGCATCAATTTGCAGTACACCAGAAGAGAAAACAACACCAGAAAAGATACCAATACTAGAACAGAAGTCAACACCAGAAAATATATCAATACCAGAAGAGAAAGCAACATTAGAAAAGATTTCAATACCAGTTTTCAGTACATCAACACCAGAACAGAAATTAGTTTCAGAAAAGATACCAATACCAGTTTGCAGTACATCAACGCCAGAAAAAATATCAATACCAGTTTGCAGTACATCAGCACCAGAAAAAATATCAATACCAGAAGAGAAATCAACACCAGAAAAGGTACCAACACCAGTTTGCAGTACATCAACACCAAAACAGAAATCAACACCACCAATTCTAGATTTTTCAACAAAATTATATGAAACAAATACTGAAACTACAAATTTGCAACCCCTTGAAGATTCTGCAACCAAATCCAGAGTTGTTACAGATTTGAAGGTGCCTTTGGTAGGATTATTATGCAATAAGGAAAAATCAGATTTGCCACCAAATCCTGTTGTCCCAGAAGAAATATTATGCAACAAGGATATCTTAGTTTTTCCACCAAATCCTGTTGTTTCAGAAGAAATATTAAGCAACCGGGAAGTCTCTATTTTGCCACCAAAACCAGTTGTCTCAGATAAATTACTAAGCAACAAGGATATCTTAGTTTTTCTACCAAATCCTGTTGTTTCAGATGAAATACTAAGTAAGAAGGAAATCTCAGTTTTGCCATCAAATCCTATTGTCCCAAATGAAATACTAGGTAAGAAGGAAATCTCAATGTTTCCACCAAAACCTGTTGTCCCAGAAGAAATACTAAGCAACAAGAAAATCTCAGTTTTGCCACCAAAACCAGTTGTCCCAGATGAAATCTTATGCAACAGGGAAATCTCAGTTTTGCCACCAAAACCAGTTGTCCCAGATGAAATATTAGGCAACAGGGAAATCTCAGTTTTGCCACCAAAACCAGTTGTCCCAGATGAAATATTAAGCAACAGGGAAATCACGATTTTGCCACCAAAACCAGTTGTCCCAATTGAACTTGAAAACCTATGGAAGGTTTCTGTAACAATCATAAATGAAAGTGAGAACTTGCCTAAAGTTTCTGCACCAGAAAACAATTTATCAACAGTGTCAATGTTCAAAATAAACCCTGAGGAAGCCATTAAGCCCAAGATCAATGAAGCAGTGAAGTCAAATTTCAGTGACAACAAAATTCTGAAAAATGATGTAGTTGCTCCGTCGAATGATATAGTTACTCCGTCGAATGATATAAATCCACTAAATTTGTCGTCCACCAAACGCGACGTAAGATTGGACTTAAATACCTTCTTAAATGATACAAATTTTACAAAACCTCATTTTCGTTCCGACAGTTTATCATCGGATATAGACAAAGCTTTAGATGATTCAGTCGGCGACAAACTGGGTAGCGATATCGACATCAGTGAAGTCCTAAAAGAGTCTGAGCATCTAAATGAATTTTTATTGTGTGATGATGTGAAGAAAAATTCCTTGGACATTAATTCAGGGAAACCGAAAACTCCTGAAAAATTCATTCTAAAAATTCCTGAATTCGAGGTCAGTCCTATCAGGAAACGCGAGAAGAGGAAACCGTACGTGTCGAAAAGTCCGAAGATTAAATTTAGGATGAAAAAGACTTTGGGTAAAAATAAAAAGGGAAGGAAGAACCTGTCTGATGTTTTGTCTTCAATGCCTTTTGATGATGGTAGTAATGACTCAAATGTGCAAAATGATTTTTTTAAGAGTTTTGATGATGATGATAAGTAGCACTTGAGGATGATTTTGCACCTGCAAGTCTAGATAAATCACATAATGCTCAATTGGAACATATTGAACCAGAAAATTCCAAAGTTGATGCACCAGAACCACTAATACGAGACAATTTATCACCATCGCCGATTTTTAACAACGATACGTCCATTTCCAAACCAGATCATTCCATTACAAAAGACGATATTTTTACTACGTCTCCAATCGAAAACGAATTACCAGTTTTGAGATCTCCGAAAATTACAATCAGTTTCAAGAAGGAAAGCAGCAGGAAAATTATCAGCAAGTGTTTGAGTGAAATTTTTGTTGAAAGTTCGAACGATGATCAACCTGAATCGACAAAAATCGAGCCGGAAGTTGTAAAGGATTGTGGTAAATCACATTTTGAAGAGGAAACTATGTCGGCGTCGGATGTGAATATTTTTGAAAAAGTTTGCAAACAAAAGGAAGATGATAATCAAAATTCTGAGAAGAAAGAAGCTGGGCTGGATGAAGTTTTACCGTTGCCTGTGGAGAAAACTGTGTTGGAAACTGATAAGGTATCAGTAGACGATATGGTAAATGGACTTCTTGAAGCAAATGAACAACCAAGTGCGGATACAAATTCTGAAACCAATGTTCAAAGTGATTTAGGTGTCGACGAACCAAGTTTATTATTGGAGGATAAATCTAGTGAAATTAGTCAAGTAAATAAAGCTGTTTCAAACATTTTGGACAAGGCTAAGCCCAAGACCAAACAATCAAAAACAAGGAAGACCAAACGTCAGAATGCAAAAACCAAGAAGAGCAAACAGCCTAAAAAACAAGTTGTTGAACGTAAAATGTCACCACGAATATGCAAATCTAAAACCAACGAATTCCAGGATATAGTAACCAATATTGATGAACCAAGTTTAACTTTACTGGATGCTGAAATCAAATCAAATATTGTCGATGACGAATTACCTGAAATCCAACCAGTTTCTCTTAATGACAATCTATTGATTATTGAAAATAAAACAACTTCTCCTGAATTTGCTTTGCCAGAAACTGAAGACAAGATACAAATATGTGATAGTTTTGATGAACAAAAATGTACAGACGAACAAATCAGTTTGATGGAAGACAGCGAAATATTTACAGAGTCATTGTTATCAAAAATCGGCGATGAAACTGTTGAAACCAACGAGAACATTTTAGACAATACAACTACAAGTCATGTCCCTGACAACTCTGGTGATACCATTGAGACTGATTCTGATGAAGATGTAAGTTTAGCGGTTATTGCTAAAACTTTGCAACAAAAACCAGAAACAAATGAGTCCATACAACTAGAAGAACCTTTGGACGATGATAAAACCAGCATCGCGTGTTCTCAGGATCAAAATAACACGTCGAATGATTTTATTCTAAAGTATGATATAATAAAATCCAAGAAAAAGCGGCGGTACAAGAAGTCTATACTGTATAATTCGAAAAAGGTGAAGCCACAAGTCAAAACTGAGAAAAATACCCGAGCAAGTCCTGTGGTTGTTAAACCAATTGACGCGTTGAACTATTGTGAAATTTGCAAGAAGAGTTTTCAACGTTTGGAAAGCTTGAACAAGCACAAGATGACTTTGACGCATATTGCTAAGTTGTCGGAGATCGAATTTTTGAATAAAAAGAACGAAAAAGATGCTGAGGTTGAAGTAGAAGAAACCAAGATAGATGGTGCACCAGCTAATGATGATGATGCACCAGCCAATGGTGATGATGCACCAGCCAAAAGTGATGATGCACCGGTTCACAAAGACGTTGATGCTTTACTTGAAGTTGCCAAACCTGACCAAGTTGATGAAGTAATTTTACCGCCACCAACGCAAATCCAACATTTACCACCGAATCCTGATCCCACACCAGATATGAACAACCGCAAAGCCCTGAGTGTAGAAGAAGCCTTGTTCTTCGAATGTTGCAGCCTTCTCAAAAGTTCTGAAGCCACCAAGAACGAAATCGCGTCCGAAACTCAGAAATTCAACCCGAATCTGTACGCCATGGATAACCTAAAACTCCTCACAAACAACCATCACTATTCGAATAAATTCAGCGATATTTCTAACGACTCCAACAATGTACCAGCAGTTCCTAACATCCAGGAAGACAGAGGCGGTAATCTGACCGCGTTTTTGGCCACAGTCGATAAATTTATTAGTGCACCTCTGTTGAATCACCATCAACGTGATGATTTTGCAAGGTCTGATGGTGATGGTGAGTTTTTACCAAGCCAAGACCAAGTTTTAAGGTACAACAATGATTATCAACGTAAAAACTTCTCCCCTATATCATCCACTCATAGCGATGTAGTAGACGATAACTTGTACATAAAGTCTAATGTTTTACCAACTGATAGCTACAGCAACGACACAGTTTCCAAAGATTTCGACGCCAATTTGTACAATGAAAATAATATGATAGTTCATTCTAACTTGAATTCTTATTCTGAGACTGGTGACAGTACTCCTCCTTCTTTGGTGAACACGGATGATGAGAATTCATTGGATAATTGTGTGGAAAATACAAGTGTTTTTGGTGAAATTGAGAAAAATGTTTATGGTGATGAAAAAGGTGATGATCAAGGTGCACATGGTGACAAGATAAGGGAGACTGATACAGTATTAAATGGGTGAGTTAGAATTTAAATAGTGTTTGAAAAGTTTTGGTTTTTTTAACTTCCCAAAGGAGAAGTTTATTTTCATTAAAAAATCCGATTTGCTAATTTTATGTTTTCTCGACGTTTCAAGCCATTCTGAATCGAATTAGACCAACATTTGGAAAAAGTATGTGTGTGTGTGAGTGAACATATTTTTTATCGTAAATCGACGTTTTCTCAAAACCGGCTGGACCGATTTCAAAAATTTAAAAGCCATTCGATGTATCTCGATGAGGACTATTATTTGTCAGTTTTGTGCGACGATCGGTTAAGCCGTTTCTTCATAAATCGCAGAAAATTGAAAAAAAATTTGTCCACGTTTTAGCCGCAATTAAATAAATCATATATTAGTTGGGAATCGATCTGATTAGTTTTTAGTAATGATCGGCCGGGCCGTTCTTTTAATAAAGTGTTAAAAAAAATTTTTTTTCGACGATTTTCATGAATTTTTTTTAAGCTAGATACTATAGTCTTATATATCATACTAAAATGTTACAGCTTTACGACAAATAGTTCAATGCTAAAAATTCTAAAGCTAAAAAAGTTTGAGAAAATATTATAGTCAAAATTTGTGTAAAAGGTTGCTTTTGTGATGTGATGAGTCAAACATTATCAATTAATTAAAATTTAAAATAACTAGTGGTGTATGGCATCGTGCCTTAAGGCAAATTGCTGGAACTTCCCGTACCGTAATGAAATATTCGAGAAATTTTAAACGTTTTCAAATATATTATTGCAAATACTGTAACTTTAATTATTTTTGCTATCTTGTTATATCTGAGCAAATCAAATGTAAATTATAAATAAATCAATTTATCTCCAGAACATTAACAATCGTCATTTTATTTCGAATTCAATTTAAAAAAAAAATAGTTGCCTAATTTGCACAAAATTGAAAAAGTGCTCCGGTATAGTCACAGTCTGAACGCATTTGCAAATAATTCTGTGCGACATTTTCACTTATACTGTGCTTGGATTGGCGGCATTTTCACATTTTTCAATAGTTTTCACAAAATTGAAAAAGTCTTCCAGTACATAAACAGTCTAAACGCACTTGGGTAAATATTTGTAGTAGAGTAGCGCTTAGACTGTACTTAGCCTGGGTAATTTTTTGAATTTTTAATCCAAAATTACAAAAATATTTTATGGAAATTAAAAAAAAAGGTGTAATAATTTTCCATTTATCCTCAAAAGCAATTGTTTTGTCAATACAAGAAGAGAGCTTTTTAGATCATTCAAATCGGACGCTTAGTTCACTCAAAAACTGCCAGTTTTTGCACATTTTGCTCCGTATCTTTGAAATGGCGGGACCTGCCTTTGCCAAAAACTGATCACTTCTTCTCCCAATTATTACAAATTGAATGTTTTTTAGATCATTCAAATCCGATACTCCGTTCTCTCAAAAACGCGATTTGTATTTTCTGCACTCTTTGCTCCTTATCTCCGTAAAGGCTGGACCTGCCTTTGCCAAAAACTAATCAGCACATCTCCCTATCAATAGGAATCGAATGTTTTTTGAACCATTCAAATCGGTTGATCCGTGCGCTCGAAAACGTGACTGGAAATTTGTATCCATACATATATACACACACACACACATCCATTTTTTCTGAAGTATGCCAAAATGTTCAGAAACCTTCAAAACGTCGAGAAATGTAAAAATTTTCAATTTTGATTTTCGGCCCATTACAATAACTTACCCTACGGGAAATTAATAAGATTCAATTTTAGGACACAAACTATCACGTGTCTGTGCATTATAATTAATATAATAATTATAGATAATTTACATGTTTTTGAGAAAATTAAGCGCAATGTTTAAATTTAATTGAAAGCGATAACTTTATTTTTAAAAAAATAAATAGTTGACTAATTTCATCGAAATATCTAAATTTCAATTTGGATTGATTAAGTCAATTCTTACATATTTCGGGAAATTCATGGTACTTGTCTTTAGGCTAAATGCATTTCATTTGTAACTAATTATTAAGGAAATGGTTTTTTCAAAATTAGTAATGCAAAAAATTCGAGAAATCAAAAATTTCTCGATTCGAATAAAAATCTGATTCTAATGATATTGTTATTGTTTTATAATCACTTGATTCGACTTGGCACATCTCAATCAAATATGTTTTATGTGTTTCTTTACCCAGTAATGATAATAAATTACTGTCTATTTTTCAGAATCCTCGATTCTGACCTAAGCGATTGCCACAGCGACCTAGACCTGCCTCCGAGTATTCAATCCAGCCCAAATTCCGACAAAAAGATCCCTACCAAAGGCGCCCTGAAGGTTTTCGAAAGCCTTAAAGTCAGCATTCCGACATCCGAGATCAATCTGGAAAAAGTGATAAACGCTTGTTCGAATTCATCAAAATTGGCAGCATTTGCTGAAATTGCTTTGCATCGCGAACATTCTAACCACTCCAGAGACCTCGAATTGGATAAACTATCGCCTCCGATTGAAATGAATATGTCGGATGATAATCTGGTTATAGATGAGAGACCGATTACACCAGGACGTGGGTTATTAGATGATTTTGAGGAACCTGTCCAGGAAGAAGTTGTTGTTAAACCTAAAGACGTGGTGATCACTAATCCTCGCAAGAACAACGTGGCTTTAACATTTGGCAACAAATTAGGTTTTCGTATCAAAAAGAAACGTGTCCAGAGAAAGACTGTTAAAAAACCTGTAGGCAATAGGAAGACCAGGAAAAACAACAGCAAACCTAAAGAAGTCAAAAATGTCATCAAAGACGTGTACGACTTTGATGACGATTCCTTGGAAAATATCGACTTGGGAGTGGATAAATTAAAAGGATACGCTTCAAGCAAAACTGTAGGCAAACCTGAAACCAATATTATTCCTGATGAACCACCACCGCCAGTAATAGAAGCTATAAATTTAGAAAATTCTATACCAAATTCCTTGCAAACGTCTCAACCTTCAGATGATGATGTGTTTGATTATTTGTCTGATAATATGAGTGATGTTAGTTCTGCAGAATCTACAGCAACTGTTAAAACTAAATTGGATATTGAAGAAAAACCTAAACGTTTGATTGTTGGCAAAATATTTAGGAAAAATTTAAAGGACAAGCCGGAGAAACCTAACGTGGACGAGTTGTTTGATGCACTTTTATCAGAAACTGATAAGGAAAAAGAAAAAGTAGAACAAATAGTTGAAACAAATGATAAAGTTGCATTGGAAAACGCGGTGGAACTAAATCATGTGGATGTGGATGTGGATGTAAAACCAGAACAAGAAGTTGTAAGTCCTGTTAAAAACAACAAAAAGAAGAACCACAGAAGCAAATCCATTATCGAACAAGAACTTGGTATGAGTTTTCAACAAATCAAGGAAATTATTGGTTTCGCCACACGCAAGTCCCAACGTAAGTGCACCACAGGTAAACAAAACGTTTTGGCTGAAAACTGGAGCTCCGATGAAGATTTGGATACGCGGCTCAAAAAAGAGAAAAACAGATCCGACAGAAAATCAACCAAGGAAAACATCGAACACAAATCACCTCGTGGTAGAAAAAGTGATCCAGTGATAGTTAAAAAGAATGCAAATGATGTAGTTGGCAAACCTTTGGAGGAAAAACCGGTAACAACCCAGGAGACTACAGAGACTCCAGTCAATGGCGTTGATACCAAAATATCAGACGACAAAGAGCAGTGTGTGGTCAATGGTGATATGAACGAGGATAAAACTAAAAAACTTGTAAACGGGACCGGTACGACCCCGAAGAACAAAAGAACGTACCGCAGGCGCCCCAAAAACGACAACTTCAGCAGCGACTCCGAGACTGATACTGTTAAAAAACGTGCACGCAAAATGCGCAAAAAACGCAAATCCTTCACCAAAACATCCAGGGATCACTCTTTGACACTAGACAGCGCTACTGAACCATTACCAGAGATTGTAGAAAAACTTACTACTGACTTAAACGTCGAAAAAATAGCTGCAGCTAATAAAAAACGTAATAAGCAGAACTTGACGGACCTGGATGCCCAGACAGCTGCTATATTATCTCTTCCAAGGAGAAAAAGAGTCTCTACAGACATGCTGTATTATTGGTCGAGTTCTAGTGATGAGGATCAATATGCAGGGATGATTGAAGTGAAACCTATCAGGGACGATGTGAATTTGAGTGAACATCCTATACAGCACGGTTGGATTGTTGGTGACTCTCATAAGAAACTGGTGACTCTTTTGGCGCATGCCAAAGGGAAGAAGACGGAAGATTGTGCTGTTAAGGAGGGTCATATTAAGAAGAACAGGAGTACCTTGTGAAAAGAGTATTGAGGTAATTGATATGTTGAGCTTTAGACCTGAACGCTCAGCTGCTTTTATTATTAACGTGAAACCTATCAGAGACGATGTGAATTTGAGTGAACATCGTATACAGCACGGTTGGATTGTTGGTGACTCTCATAAGAAACTGGTGACTCTTTTGGCACATGCCAAGGGGAAGAAGACGCAGGATTGTGCTGTTAAGGAGGGACATATTAAGAAGAACAGGAACACCTTGTGAGAAGAATATTGAGGAAATTCATTGTCACCTTGTGAGAAGAATATTGAGGATATTGATATGTTGATACTTAGACCTGGACGCCCAGACATCTCTTCCAAGATGAGAAAGTGCATTGACTGATATGTTTCATGATTGAAGTGAAGCCTATCAAAGACGATATCAATTTGAGTGAACATCCTATACAGCACGGTTGGATTGTTGGTGGCTCCCATAAGAAACTGGTGAGGATTGTGCTGTTAAGGAGGGTCATATTAAGAAGAACAGGAATACTTTGTGAGGGAAATATTAAATTGATATGCTCATCCTTAGACCTAGACTACTAGCTGCCTTTATGATTGAAGTGAAACCTATCAGGGACAACGTGAATTTGAGTGAACATCCTATACAGCACGGTTGGATTGCTGGTGATTTTCATAAGAAATTGGTGACGCTGTTAAGGGGGATTGTGCTGTTAAGGAGGAGGTCTATATTAAGAAGAACAGGAGTACCTTGTGAAAAAAGTTTTGAAGAAATTGATAAGCTGATAGTTACACCAGGACAAAGCTCAAACACCTTTATCTCTTTCAAGACGAATATTTACTGATGTGCTGAATGACGTGAATTTAGGTAAACATCTTTTACAGCACGGTTGGATTGTTGGTGACTCTCATAAGAAACTGGTGACTCTCACAAAAAAATAGTGACTCTTATAAGAAACTGGTGACTCCCACAAGAAACTGGTGACTCCCACAAGAAACTGGTGACTCCCACAAGAAACTGGTGACTCCCATAAGGAAACTGGTGACTCCCACAAGAAAACTGGTGACTCCCACAAGAAACTGGTGACTCCCATAAGGAAACTGGTGACTCCCATAAGGAAACTGGTGACTCCCACAAGAAACTGGTGACTCCCACAAAAAACTGGTGACTCCCACAAGAAATTGGTGACTCCAATAATCCACTGGTGACTCCCATAAGCAACTGGTGACTCCCATAAACAACTGGTGACTCCAACAAGCCACTGGTGACTCCAACAAGAAACTGGTGACTCCCACAAGAAACTGGTCACTCCCACAAGAAACTGGTGACTCCTACAAGAAATTGGTGACTCTTATATGAAATTGGTGACTCTTATAAAAAATGGTGACTCCCATAAGGAACTGGTGACTCCAATAAGACACTGGTGACTCCAATAAGACACTGGTGACTCCAATAAGACACTGGTGACTCCAATAAGACACTGGTGACTCCAATAAGCTACTGGTGACTCCGATAAGAAACTGGTGACTCTTATAAGCCACTGGTGACTCCTACAAGAAACTTGTGACTCTCTTCAGAATCGGGTGAATTCCATAAGAAACTGGTGACACCCACAAGAAACTGGTGACTCCAATAAGCCACTGGTGACTCCGATAAGCCACTGGTGACTCCCATCAAAAACTGGTGACTCCCACAAGAAACTGGTGACTCTCATAAAAAAAATAGTGACTCTTATAAGAAACTGGTGACTCCCACAAGAAACTGGTGACTCCCATAAGGAAACTGGTGACTCCTATCAAAAACTGGTGACTCCTATCAAAAACTGGTGACTCCTATCAAAAACTGGTGACTCCTATCAAAAACTGGTGACTCCTATCAAAAACTGGTGACTCCTATCAAAAACTGGTGACTCTTATAAGAAATTGATGACCCTCATAAGAAACTGGCGACTCTTATAAGAAATTGATGACTCTTATAAGAAACTGGTGACTCCAATAAGCCACTGGTGACTCCAATGAGCCACTGGTGACTCCCATATGAAACTGGTGACTTCCATGAGAAACTGGTGAATCCCATAAGAAATTGATGTCTCTCATGAGAAACTGGTGACTCCCACAAGAAACTGGTGACTTTCATAAGAAACTGGTGACTCCAATAAGGCCCTTGGTGACTCCAATAAGGCCCTTGGTGACTCCAATAAGGCCCTTGGTGACTCCAATAAGCCACTGGTGACTCCAATAAGCCACTGGTGACTCCAATAAGACTAATGACTCTCATAACAAAATGGTGACTTTTATAAGAAATTGGTGACTCCCACAAGAAATTGGTGACTCTTATAAGAAACTGGTGACTCCCATAAGAAACTGGTGACTCCCATAAGAAACTAATGACTCTCATAACAAAATAGTGACTCTCATAAAAAAAATGGTGACTTTTATAAAAAAATTGGTGACTCTTATAAGAAATTGGTGACTTGTACTGGAGAAAATTGATGGATCGATCCTTAGACCTGGACTGCCAGACAGCAGCCTTTATGTTTGAAGATCCTTTAAGAGACGACGTGAATTTTAAAGAACATCCTATTTTTGTTGGTGACTTCTTCAGTAAATTGATAACTATTTTGGCATATATCCAGGTGAAGAAGACTGAGGATTCGGCCTGGGTTAAGAATGGACATACCTTATGAGATGAGTATTAAATAAGTGGAAAGTCATTTGTTGTTCCTTATTAGCTCACTCTATTTTAAATTCAAAACTGGTGATAAAATTAAACAGAATTTATTTAGCAAATGTATATTTATGGAGCAATTCTGCTGTAACATAGACAATAAGATAGCGTTATCAGGGCAACAATTATTGGTCTATCTAATATAAACAAGCAAGGAAGAAACTTATAATAAATGCACCATCAAAGATTCTGTTATCATAACATTCTTCCTTGCTTGTTTATATGTAAAAAAACGCCGGATAGCACAGCAAATAAATAAACTTATCATAATTTTCACTACCAAGCGTTGCCATGACAACACTATGTTATGAGCTCTATTACGGATGTATTAATTTTTTTTTGGGCTAATATGTGATAAAATTAAAACCATTTCTTCAACATTATTTTCTGATCTGTGACATTTAAAGTGATTTTTTTTTAAAATTGATCACTTATGGATATAAAAACTATTATGAATGTAAAATGTGCAGTGTATCGGTGATTATGAACAAAAGCTTTGTGTAATATATTGTTTTATAAATGTGTATATATATTTGGAATGTCGTGAATCTATCCAAAATTAGTAGAGTAAGAAAAATTGTATATATCATATAATGACACACACACACATATATGATAGGTTGTCAAATATCTCCCTTCCGCTTGTTTGCTCTTGGTTTATAATACAAAAAGGCGGAAGGGAGATATTTGACAACCTAATATATATATATATATATATATATATATATATATATATATATATATATATATATATATATAATATATATATATATATATATATATATATATATATATATATATATATATATAATATATATATATATATATATATATATAATATATATATATATATATATATATAATATATGTGAGGCTTTATATTTTAAAAAATGTTTTCGTCATTTTTACTTTAAATTTAACACTGAACTATTATTTACATGTTTTGGCACCACATTTGTGTCATCATTTAGCAGAAATTTATACCAAATGTTAAATGTATGAAGTTACAACAAAAAATAATTAAACACTGAGAATAATTTATTTATAAATTAATAACAAAATATCTTATAATAATACTCAATAACGTAGAAAAGATATTGTGGTGATATATTGTTTTCGGTTCATAAATAATTACAAGTTTTCTGGATTTCTGGAGATTTTTCTATTCAAAATCATTCATCAAATAATTTTTTTATTAGTTTATATTAAACAAACAATTGAAATATTAGATTTTACGTATTATTAACGTTACTGTAACGAACGTAATTTAACGTTGATTATTTGTGTATATTGTAACGTACTTGTTACGTAACTGGGTTTTAATTATTTTGGGAATTTTGTTTTTTTTTATTATTTTTTAGAAATTTATATCATATTTGAAATTACAACAAAAAATAATTAAATACTGAGAATAATTTATTTAAAAATCAATAACTAAATATGTTATAATAATATTCAAAAACGTAGAAAAATTATTTTGCTAATTTACAGTGTTCGGTTCATAAATAATTACAAGTTTTCTGGATGTTTGGAGAATTTTCTATTTTAGATCATTCTTTTTGGCTTCCCAGTATTGCTTTAATTAATTTCTGATTAGTTTCTAATAAACTATCAATTTTACGTATTATTAACGTTAATTATTTGTATATATTGTGACGTATTTGTTACGTAACTGGCTTTAAAGTGTTTCTGGAATTTTGTTTTTATTATTTTTTATGTTTTCTTTGGGTATTTTCTTTTTAAACAATTTTTGCTCTTAAGATTTCAGTAATTTGGTAGAATAATTAACAGTTTTTTAAATCTTTAAATAAAATAAATAAAAATTCTAAAAAAAATTGCAAAGAAATTTTTAAAAAATATAGCATTTCTCTGCAACAAATTGGATTTATGAATAATTAGGAAATAATTATGAATAATTAGAATAGAATTTCTTTGCAACAAATTGGATTTATTAATAATTACAAGTTTTATGGATTCTTTTTTTATTCAAGATAATTCTTTTTTTGGTTTTCAGGATTATTATAAATTATTTTGCTATTAGTTTATTAATAGATAATTGTCAGTGTTTAATTAGTAGAAGTACTCAGCAGATCATGAAAATATGTCTTCTTCTTCTTGATGTCATCATCACAGCATCAACAATTTTGAGAGCTAAATCAAAACTAAATTCTTTTAATTTTAATATTTTTCTTTTCATATTCACATTGTTTTAGTTTGCAATTTTTTCACTGATGACTGATTTTTCTGTCGAAACGTCCAGACAAATAAACAAGTTTTATAATCAAGTCAATATTTTAAGAATTGCATAGTTTTGTGTTAAACAAGTTAAAGGAAAACGAAACATTTTTTCAAGTATAAATGGCCTGAGATATATATATATATATATATATATATATATCCATTACTATAGTCACAAATGGACATTTGAATCTTTACAATATAAATTTGTACATAAATTTTATCTTCGTGCTGCATATATGTATAAATGTATCGTCAAAACATATATGTAATGCTCTTCGATAAGATGAAGTATAACTTTTAGTTTTAAGTTCATAAACTAAACTTTTATATTTTTAACTTTATTAATAATAAGATTAATCTGAATGTGAAATTCTTGTCAACAAAATCCTTGTAAAGCTGTATGATATGTAAAAATTTATTGCAATGAAATAATTTTAATTAGCAGAATGGTAGATAATAGAAACAGTATGTATATATATATATATATATATATATATATATATATATATTGTGTATAGTTTTAACAAATTTATGAGTTGATTCATCAAAATTTTTGGATGTGTGCTATTTGCCGCTTTAACTTATGATACATTTTCTTTAAATTGAATTTTTATAAATATGGTTTATATATATATATATATATATATATATATATAAGAAAAGTTTATTCTCATTAAGAGGGATCATACTTTTTATTTTGTGCAATTTAGAATAGAAAAAAGATATTTATCAACAGCGATAGATTTTATTTACATTTTTATAATTATAATTGAATGGATAATGCATATACATATATGTATATATATATATATATATATATATATATATATATATAAATGATCGTGTATGAATTTTTATAGGTTTATTCGATATTCATATATTTTGGCTACAACCTAGCCTTTATTTACTGGCTAGCTTGATATTCTATTTAGAGATTTGTGTATGTGATTTTCATATATATATATATATATATATATATATATATATATTTCTCTTATAATTGGTTAGCTTAGGATTAACACTGCCATATGTGCCTTTCGTGATGCTTTTTTTTGGTGTCGTCAAATTTATTTTTGTCATTTCAAAATAAATTTATGCTTGCTCTATATTTTTGAAAGTGAAAAAGACATATTTGAATGTTGCGGTGAATGTTGCAAATATTTTTTTATAAGTGAAGTCATA